TACTGGGAGCAAGAAGCTACTAGTAGCTCCTGGCATTACTACTAGTAGCAAGAAACTGACTGTTGGGGCTTCGTTGAACGCGCCAGAGTGACACGGCGTGACCTTTGAGAGGTGCTTTGTATCTCCATGGGCTGCGGTCCTTCCATTGCACCGTGCAGAGAAGGTATCCAAGGCCGTTAGATTTGATTCACATCCCAATGTGAAGGATTTTCAGTAAAAGATTTACAGGAAATCTATGGACATCTACTAGTAGTAATTAATCAATTATATAAAGTGTTTGTATTTGGGATGGGATAGCTTTTGAAGCCGAAACCGTTCAGAGCTTGCCAGGCTTGCCAGCCGCTCATCCTTGGGAGGAGCAGGTTATGAAAAACATGGCTGGACGGGTGATTTTCTAGTTTTTCGGCGATCTGAGCAGCGAGGGCAAGATCAACGTGCGTGAAGCAGATAGCGTTTGAGGTCCTCCTATGCCAACGCTGCTGTTTGCCTCAGCAAGCAGCTATGACATCAGACTTCACCAAGAATGCAAACAACAATCCGTCCAAGCACATCCCTACAGCCTTCTGATGATAACATGATGAACAAGGTCCCGCTTGCAATTGGTATGGGCCAATGTCACTTTTGCCAATCTGGCGTTGAAGAAAGAAGCCATTCAGACTTGACTGCGAGCAAACCTGAACGGATCACATAGCAGACTTGCCACACGCAGCCGAGCTTTGACAGGCGTCAACTTGCTGGCAGTTTAGCCTTACACCGTCACTAGTTCACTAGTTTGCACATTGGCAGGAACTTGAGTCGCCACAGTTTGCTGAATGCCTGTTTGAAGGTGCTCGACTATCACTCATCACTTGCTCTCATATTTCTGGAAAGACTGGCATAAAGGAAAGGTCTCAGATGAATCAAGCTTGGACACTTCGGGAGAAGAAGCAACTCGCGGGCCGGCGCAATTGAAGCTTCTGTTCCAGAATCGAGCGAGCGACACCATACAGTTGAGTCTTGCTCTTGTGAGATTAATGTTGAACAACATGACCATGCCATCATGCCTTGACTACTTCCTGAACAGTGGTGCATGCGAGATGGGAGCCAGAAAGAGAGAGAGAGAGAGAGCTGATTTGCGATATTTTACGAGTCTGATGAGTACACAGCTAAACCAACTGATGTTCAGCGGCGGGAGCAAAAGGCATACTCAACTTTTTGGACTGCCAGGGCACCTGCACTCAGATAGTGGACTTGTGGTGGTGATGTGTGAAAATACACTACTTGACCAGTTCATACTGACCCCCCTGTTTTCAGTGCATTCGCACGAGAGTGAAGGCCAAATACCTTATTTTGTTACAAAGTACGAGGGCTTGATATTGCACGTGTAGAGAACTCGATTTCAGCTTAGGTTTGGTCGAAATCAATGCCAGACCAGAGACCATCCTAGAATCACAACCAGCAGCCATGTCTTGTGCAATCCACTTCCTGTTTCTGTATCTTCTCGGAAAAATATCAATTGGATCCAATCGGTGCTTTACAAGAGAACCGAAAAGAATTGAACAAAGCACAAAGCCTACTGGCGCCTGTGCATTTCTGCTCAGGCAGGGAATTATGCCAGTTGTTCATATTTTTCAATATCAGTATCAGACAGAATGTGGCTTGGAACTGGCCCCTAGCCCCCCCAGCTTGACCAAGTCACTGTGTCATGTTGCATATGAACCATCAGGTTCTCAAAATCCTAGATTAAGATATATTATGATATATTTAGCTTTATATGATACAAGTTATCAGCTTTGCATCAAATCGATCGATCACTCCACCCAGAGTATCATAGAATATCTACAGTAACTCCTCAGAAGCACTGGAAGCACATTGTTGCCGGAAAAGTGCAATGTCGCCGTTGCCGCCTGTGAGGAGTCACTCTAGCAGCCTTGAAGGTGAGAGGGACCAATCTTAACCTATTGTGGCTCTTGTGAGGAGGGGAAACCACGGCCATCCAAAAACCATCAATTTGTAAGGCATCTAGATCAAACAACGTTAACAGGATCCAACAAAATAGTCCTGAGTAGGTCCCCTGCTCCTTTGGTCCCCTGGTTCTTTTCGTGGTCCACACCCCTCACGGTCCATTGGTCAAAAAGGAAATTCATAGTATTTGCGAATTTGGCAAAAACTATCCGGTTGCAAAAACCAAAACTATCCGGTTGCATTGATCCTTTTGTCGCTTTCTGGGTGCTCTCCATTGATGGGGCAATGGGGTGTGTAGATTTTTTGGATGATGATCTTTTTTGAAGTGCCTTCTGAGTCTGGTGACTTTTCACTTTTGGTTCGCTCTGGGGGGGAGGCTTTGCGGTCCCCCCAAGCCCCCTCCAGCGCCACGAACTCTTCTCTACTTTTGCCAATGCACTGCGCCTGCCACGACAGATATTTTAAAAGTGACCAATCGTATCTCCACACCAAATATTACATGCCCTTGCCTGAGTCTTTTGATTATATAAGTGTCGCGAACATTTTTTCATTGTCCGCTGGTGGATGATTGGGCCCATCTTTGCTGTGTCCAACATTTCTATCCGTTCGTTCTCTTTTGTCTTGCTCTGCGGGGGGGGCTGCCTATATAATCCTCATTTCGCCCTGCTGCTGCTGTCCTTTTCCCTAGTATCTTTATCCTTTCGTCGCTCAGTGGGGAATTTGTTTGATCCCTTTCTTTTTTCTTGTTAATGCCCATCGAATACTTTTATGCTATTCGAATTTTTGTTGATCCCTCACCCAAGTTCTAAGGGTAAAGTCCAAGCAAGCAAGGATACATATGGTATGATGGCAAAGAACAAAGCAGGTTTACACATGGTGCGGATGGGTGCGTGCTGCGAAACAAAGCGGTCATGTTGCAATTCCATCACGTCCGAGCACATTGTGCATGCCATGTACTTGGGGTAGCGTGGACTTGTGGTGCCTTCGGCAATTGCTGCGGTTCTTCAAACTATTTGATGGCCGCATGTCACCTCATGTCAGCTTGTACATGAACACTCTGAACGCTGGCAACGTGTCTTCGGTGACTTGCAAATAGAACGGGGGAGTTCAGTCTCCCTTTACCTGAATGGAATCAAGACTCGTTTTGTTTGTTCGCTTGCCCTGTGCCAAACCTTGCTGTTGGGGTCTTTGCCGCAGAGAGAAGTTTATCAGTCCAACGCGTCTATTGATTCCCCAAACAGTTTACTGTTGGGGTCCTCTCTTAGAAAAGAGGCACTGGCCACGCTCTCTGGAACCCTGTGTCCAGGTGTTGTCCTCCTGCTGTCCTGTTCTTGTCCTCTTGTTGTCCTCCTGTCCTCCTGCTGTCCTCTGGGCGCACTGGCGAACCCCTTGTCCTCCTCCTGTCCTCTCGCCGTGCTGGCGAACCTGCGTCCTTCTTTTGTTTGCTGATGTCCTCCTGCTGTCCTCTAGCTGCAGCCACGTTTGTATCCTCCGGCCACGCTTGCGAACGTTGTGTCCTCCTTTTATCCTCTTGGTGTCCTCCTGCTGGCGAACCCTGAGTGATCCTCTTGTTCCCTCGCCATGATAGCTGTGGGCTGTGGCCGCGCCGTGGGCTTTCTGGGGCTTGTCCAGGCCTTGTCCGTTGCGGCTGTGGGCCTGGGCGTTGTCCTTGTTCAGGCTTTGTCCGGGTCTGCTTGGCAGCGCCGCCTTGTCCATGTTTGTCCTACTTGTCAGCGTTGTCGGCCCTTTTTCCGCCGCCTTGTCCAGGCCTTGTCCCGTGCTTGGCCACGCCACGCCACTTGCCCTTTCTCCACCGCCTTGTCCGGGTATGTTTTCATGTGGCTATGAATGCAACAGTGGTGCAGCAGCGTTTCAAATTTGATATCATCATTGGATTTTCTCATGACACATATATCCCTTCATTTTTGCACATGACATGTGACCCGGGAATCAAGAACTACTGTTTGGAATCAAACAGCTGGAAGCTATACGAACAAACAGCAGACGTTACCACCAGGATTGGAATTAAAGCAGTTGCCACATAGAATAATGCTGAAACTGTTTGGGATCTATGCTGGCATAATTGGTGGTATCCTTTCAGGTTCCTTTCACTCATGTTTAACGTCTTTGGAGGGTTCGGATCTTGATTGATCCTTTCAATTCTGGGACTCTCCTAACCGGCTAGGGCTGTTGTGCGGTGCTGCAGTTAGGACGCTGATGCGCAGCAAGTGATGATCCAAAGCACTAACCACTTTGTGTGATGTCACGAGGTCATACCAAGGACTAAGGGCCAATGACTAGCACAACTAGCATACTACTTCAGTGTACAAAGACACCTGATCGTAGAGACCACTTCATTGCTGCAAGCAGAACAAAAAGCAGAGCATGTTCGTTTGCAAACAAAGTCCATTTGTTCAATTTGTTTGCACTCGTCTGAACACCCGATTTTTTGAAGAAATCCTCATGCTGTGAGGACAGTGTGCCAGTTGTGGCTGTGCAGAGCTGCACGAAAACAGCACATTTGCACACATGTGATTTACATTTACACTTGTCACTTGTCATATGTTTGTCATTCCATTCTAGCATGTTTAGTTTTGCATTGCATTTTCTTGGACTCCCCAGATGATCGGAGGCAAGCTAGGCAAGAGCACTGAAGAGAAGGAGAGGAAGTCCATCCAAGCAGCGGTTGAAAGCTATTATGCGCTACCGGGCGTGCCAGACGAGGAGTGTCTTGCTTCAAGACCAGCGAGGGCGCGCAGTGCAAAATGATGCGAAATGCATAGACGCAGTTGTGTTCCATGCTTGGTAAGGGGCTTGAACATCCTTTAATAAAGGGTTTCAGTGTTTCAGATGTTTCAGGAGTTCACGGGCAAACAGCATGTTTTGCTTTGCCTCTTCCCAAATTTACCTCCAAGTAAAAGAGTTGGACTGAGCATCACATCCAGGCTTGAGTCAGTGGAGCTGCAAGATTTTTTCGATGAGAATGGCGTGATTGCTCCAGACTCGCCAAAAAACTGGGGCCTAGTTGCCTCCTTGCGAAAGCCGCTCTCAAGGAGTGCTAAATGTCTAAGATCGGCCAAAGCTGGTGCCTTCGTATTCCGATTCAAGTCACTCCTATATACAAGTACCATCATTGGGTAGAGTTGGCATGTTTTACAATTGGTGCTAAGACCCAAATGTTTCTTTTGCTTTGAAACGCCCTTTCCCAGATGCTTTTGCAACTCCACAGACCTGCAACATTGCCAGCATGACTCTGCATAGATTCAGCAAGGAGCAAGCCTTCGCTGGAGAAGCATGGATCGTTGTCCACGCGGCAGCAACTACTAAATTCCCAGAATTCGCTGGAATATGCACGGAAGAGGGCGGAATATCAGCGTAAGGCTTGATCTCAACAAACATTTTGAGTTTCTTGGTGTCCTTGCTGTTGAGAATCAAAGCCGTTGCCCTGGCCTGGCACAGGCAACAAGTGAATTCCAGAACACGACCAACACCGCAGCAGTGGATATCCAGAGACTTCGGCATTTGTTTTGTGTTTTCCAGCCTCTGGGATATGTGCCGGCTGGTCCCGTCTTTAAGAAGCATTTGGCCAATGTCTACATGGAGGACACAAATAAAACAAGAATTCAAAAAGACTTCTCATTTGTTCAGATGCTTTCTGAATTCCGAAGTGCTTCCCACAGTACCAACCAGTTTGCAGGATGCAGCGACTTTGAATCGTGAAGAGGTGGACTTGGAAGAGCAGAACCTGACCACAAAAGGCTGGAGGGTTCACCACGTCCTCTTGTTCCTACAGCTCCGTTCGTAGCGTTCTTGCTCCTAGTAGTATAGCGATGCCCTTTGTTACTAGTAGCTTCTTGTTCCTACTAGTAAGGCCAGGAGCCCCTAGTAGCTTTATTGTTCCTAGTAGCGATGCCAGGAGCCCCTAGTAGCGTCCTTATGAATTGTTCCAAGGGCACAGCATAAGGTGCCTCTATCATAGGTCAGACAGAGCAGCTTCAGAGCAGCTGTAGTTGTTAGACGAGTTTCGACAAGTTTTGCTTGATTCATGGTGAGGCCCAGGGAGCGCGATGAACAACGATCAGAGATCGTTGCTCCATCAAGTGTTCAAGAAATCTATCATCAAGGCCACTACCCTTTCCATCGTCAGCTTAAGCAAGCCGCCACCCACTGGAAAACACATCCATTCAACCACGGAAGATTTTGCACTTTTCTTGACCTTTGCTTGTCAGGTGACAGGAAAAGGTGGAAGGACAGCTCTGATGTACAGGTGAGGAGAGCAATATTGACAGTTTCTTTTTGTTTCATATTTCTTCACTCATCATCACTCCTCCATTTGTACAATTGGTGTTGCAAGAGCCGCGGAACAACCAGATGTGGCAGTTGACATGCTCTGACAGCATGAGTGCGCATTGAACGATTGCAGGTGGACATGGTTTCGCTTTCTGATCCACTGCAAGCTAATTGGTCCAGATGACTCTTGGGACAGGAAGATACCTGAAGAGACGCTGCTTGGATGGAAAAGACTGCAATTCACGAAAGGTTGCCCCGGCAAAAGGGGTTTGCTTTGCTTCAGTAAATAGGTGGACGGGACGCGTGGACGTTGGAACGGTTTTAGTTTAAGGACAGGTTTCATCGATAAGACACCCCACGAGGCTCAAATCCTCCACAGTATCATTGGCCTGCTTTTGTCGGCTACCCCGATCACAACCACGATCATGACAAACACGACCACTATTACCACCACGACTAAAAACTGGCTTGCCTGTGGCATCTTTGGGCCCACCCTACCTACAAGCCTTTCGTCCGTCATCCACCTCAAGTTTGTTTGTCCTGATTGATAGTTCGTCAGACTGAATCTCTAAGGAGAGTTCCGTGGAGTTTGGCAGTCAAGATTTTCAAGCTCTTTCAGGAGACCCGGTTTTTCATGTTTTTCATGCTTCACATCAGGTCAGAAGGATCCAGGACGACCAAGTCTTCGTGAATTGCCATCACTCTGAACAAAGGATGAGACAAATCAGATGAGAATTGCCTTGTCCGCCCGTAGCGATACAGGAGCCCAACAGCGAGCCTCCCGCTTTGAGCTTCAGCGGCTGGGCCAATGCTCTTCAAGCTACCATCCGGGCAAGGGGGATGTATACGACTGGTCCCGAAGTCATAGAGGCAGGACATGGATGGATATGGCAGGTTTTTGTTGTTTATTTTATTTTCAAAGCCCGGGGGGTAGGCTGCGGATAGAGGACTAGTTCGCTACTAGCTCCTAGTTAGCTACTACCTACTGGATGCAGGATAGCTCACGCTTCGAGGAAGCTCCTCCCCTCTGGGGGAAACCTAATGAATTTTTTAGGGTCGCCATGTTGCTCACACTTCTTTTGACATCTTTTGACATTTTTTGGCTCACACTTCCTTTGACATTTTTTGACCAGCTGCCAGCTTGCTGAATCATGTTTCAAACGCATCCGAACACATCCACACCTCTAACATAACTGATTGATACTAATTGTACAGGAAAAACGTGATGTGTTTTTCATTGTAGTTGTTGTTGCATTTAAAGCAGCACATTACCGACTTCAACCTAGGGATCGATCAATTCCTTAAGGCGAGCTGTGTGGGTACCACCATAAGGCCAGTCTTGACATCTCTTGACCAACATCTTTTTAGCCGGGGGTAGGTTGGTAGAAGAGGGAGGTAGTAGCTAGGTAGGTAGTAGAAGCTTGGTAGCTACTAACTATGGACGCAGGATAGCTCATGCTTCTTCAAGGAAGCTCCCCTCGCCGCCCTAAAGACGGCGGCGTGGAGCTTCCTTGAAGAAGCGCTCGCATTATTCATTTGGCTCCTAGATATTTACGGAAACTCAAGTAATCGTTGTTCTACAGCGGATTATCTCTCGACTCCAAGTTATTTATGTTGACAGGCAATCTTTGCAACATTCATGCCGCGAGCCCAAGCACAGCTGGGCATCTCGGATGACGATGCTCGTCGACATCAACGGGACTCAAGAGCTAGCGTCTGAGCTGCAGTAGAAGTAGAAGCCCAACTACACTCCCCTGGCTTCCCTTCCAAACGAGGGCTTCTCAGAGACATGGAGAGATCAAAGCATGTACAGTATATAAGCACCAAGTCAATCAAAAGCTAGATGGCTACACCATGCTACACCACTATTCCTGTAATTCCCGTGGTCAATTTGCTGAAGCTCTTTCTTTCTTATTGCTCAGTTCTGCAAAGATGCCTTCTTAGTTGCATTCTGTATAAATACACATATAATTTGTTGCTAACCTCCAATATCTATTGTTTCATTCTTTTGAAGGCTTACTTTCCAAATATTAACAATATTGTTCCTCCATGCGGACGTGTTACCACTTGTGCGAGCGCATCAGATTTGAGTGGAGGCCTCTACTACTACTACTACTACTACTACTACTACTACTACTACTACTACTAGAAAGTTTGTGCGTTCTTAAAGGTCCCGCGCGAACTGTTTGTTTATTCACACCTAAGTTATCCGTACAAGTCTTTTCCATACAAGTCTTTTCTGGCAAAGAATCCGTTCTTTCTCTAAGCATGTTATCCCTCTTGACTTTTGCCCCTTCTGTGTGAGCGTATCATGTTGTTCCTTCTTTTTCGATTATGCATAGTTGACATTGGGCACATAGGAAACTTCCCTGAAGACACTTTTGATGGGAAAACACTTTACTTGCTGACAAGAAATAATGAATACCCTTGTCCAAGCAAGAGCTACATTAGAAGCAAACTCCTTTTACTTTCGAGACTTATTTCATTCACGTAAAGTGTTATGTACACGGGCTGGTTTGTTTAACCACCATGTTGCTTATCATTTAGCTAACTCTTTCCCCTTCTTTCATTTTTGTTTCCCGTCCACATACAATACTAACAACTGAGCCAAGGTATGTTTTACAGTAAGCAGCTTGCAGCATATGTCTTTGGAAACCGAGGAGGCTGCAGGCATTAAGACATTAAGATAGTTGTTTGCTTGCATCGTACTTGGAGCATTTGGCCCTCCAAAATAATTCAGAATATGTTTGTTCATTCAAGATTTAATACTCAATACTGTATATAATATAATTCACAGAAAGGTTGTTCCACGGATCTTGAATCCACCAAAATCGAAAGCAACTAAATGGCGCATTTCCCAGGAATTGCAAGTTAGTTCTCAAGGTGGACAGTTGACTTGTGCTGGTCTGATTGTCGTGTTCGTGAATGAGACAGTGCATTGAGATTCGTGACGATGGTCACCATGCAAGGGCCACTTACTTTTTCCACTAGATCTGGACATGGAGACACTGGGGCATCGCAACATGTGGGTCGTCCAAGCGGTCTCCTAGGTCTTGCAAGTAGTCGTGCGGGCTCAAGGGCAATGAGCAGGAGCATGTCTCGCAGCAATTCTCAGAGCATGTCGCGGAGCATGTCAAGGAGCATGTCAAGGAGCATGTCGAGGTCTATGTCAAGGAGCATGTCGAAGGGTGGTGCCGGTGGGCCCCGCAACACTAGCCGAAGTACATCACGTGCTTTGAGCTTCTTCAGCACTGGTGGCTCAACTACCGGGGAGGACTGAGCTAGGATGCTTAAAGGGTCTAGAGTATAAGGACGACCACGGCCAATGAGCTTTTGCAAAGTATGCTATGTTGGCTGTAGAAGAGCTCAACAAAATTTTGCTTGGTATTGCAAACTGAAGCCGCAAGTTGTTTCAGCATGTAATGTGTCCTGCTGAGACTTGAAGGACAGCGATGAAGGGGAGACGGATGACGGCAAGCTGCCTTTGATATGGCAATTGAATCTGGCGGAGCAGCAGATTTGTGAGCCAGAGTGCTTACAGTTGCTTCATGAATATGCTGCGTTGCTGGAGGCCATGCGTCAGTCGATAATTGATAACATTTTATGTTGGATATTTAATTAATTATTCTAGGGGTCCTGTGAGTTCATGGAATAATTGTTTCAGAATAATTTTCTGGAATAAGAAACTTAGGCAGGGGTAGGTCAAGGGACCCTTGGAATAATTTTCAACAAAACCTATATGGATACTAGGTTGGAGGCCATCGCTAGTAGGTTGGAGGCCATCGCTACTAATCTATAATCCACTAAATAGTCTTTAAATAAGCAAAAACTCATACGCAGGCAGTCCTGGTTTCCAGGATCACTAAGGAACACAAAGGATTTTTACGCCGATGACATGCGGCCTTGAGGAGGGTTCTGTGGCAATATCCATTATATATTTATTCCAGCAACTAAAGCACCCCAGGAATAATTTTCAGGAAAGATGTGCAGGGTAGTCAGAATGTTTTTTTAAATATTGCTGGGGGGGTTGAGAGGGGGGCCTACTAAATAATCCTACCTAACAATTTCAATACTTTTCATATTGTTCCGCTCTGCCACCAGCAGTATTTTGCAGGTTCCCACACTTCCAATTTTGCAATGTTGCTCCATTTGCATGTTTGGTTGAGAAGGTCTTTTCCTGAAGTCAAAAAAACATGACGAGAGGCACTAGTGACAGAGTTCAAAAGCTCACTTCTTGGTGTTGTTTTTGCGATGCCAATTTTTCTGTGAACTTCAACGGAGGTTCTTTTCCGCCACTACGCAACCAATCCGCCAGCTCCCGGCGAGCACTTTTCTCGGCAATCCACAGAGGTGGTTGTAAGTGAAGAGATGTTCACACAGTTGCTGAAGGAGAACGAGAACGGGTTGAGAGATTTTGTGTTTGGGTCTTCAGACAAATAGACAAGTCGACAGAGGATTGTTCATGGAAGAACAGTAGCCACTAAAGATTATGACAGAATATCCTTAGTGTCCTGCCCTCGATCTTCTTTCTATCCTAGAACAAGTAGAACATTGTAGAACTATATATATATAAGTATTTCTCGCTTGCAGCAGTGAGCAGACCTTTGGAGAAAACTTCAAAACTGCTCAAGCTTCCTGCAGTGCACGAGAATCTCACCCCCCCTGGCAAAATCTGTTTCGAGGAGATGCGCTTCTTCCCTGATTTTGTACAGCAGTACTCCCTGAAGAAGCACTGCAACGCAACAGAAGCCAGATATGGCATTGAGGAGGGCCTCTGTTTTGCAGCTTTTGTGGAAACCATGTGCCGTATTTGCTTCTGCTCTTTGTCTTAACCTTTAGCAGCTTCCTTCGATTCTGTTTCTGCCGCCATCTCTGTTGAAAGTGCTGTTCAAAGCTGAAGCAGTGACCAGTGTGGGTCAGTGGCATGTTGATGAACGTAATTACTTATTTTGGTGGTGGATTGGTTCGGAACACTTTGGAGTGGGATCAAACTGGAAATACTATCCTTGATAAGGTTGCCTTACGCAGTTTTCGTGACCCTGTTGGACGAGATTCCCTTCGTGCCAGCTTTTCTTCAAGGGAAGGGGTTACATCTACAGTAAGAGGGTGACCTTCCCCTCCAAATTCAAAAAACGGATTCCTATCCCAACCGTCCAAATGAACTGGAGCGTGAAAGGTACCTATCAGTGTTTGTACTTATATGAGCGTCGTTCAAAAACCCACCTCTTCCTTGTTAGTAATCGAATTTCAAAGGCTGATTTCGAGTGTGCTCTCACTGCAGTCGCGAAAGGTTCGCGAAGGTCCTGCGAAAGGTCTGCGCAAGTCATGTTGGTGACCTGGCCACGCTGCAAGAACAGACTTCCGATTGCTTTTTCCCGGGTTGGGAAAAAGCAAATTGGAAATCTGAACCATTTTGCTTTTTCCCGGCCCGGGAAAAAGCAAATTGGAAGTCTGAGCCTTTTGCTTTTTCCAGGCCTGGGAAAAAACAAATTGGAAGTCTGAGCCATTTTGCTTTTTCCCGGCCCGGGAAAAAGCAAATTGGAAGTCTGAGCAAACTGGCCTGACTGAGCCGTCTCTTGTTCATGGAGGGTTGAGCCCAACCAAAAACACAGCAAAATGAAAATGGCTTGGTTGGAAATCTTGACCATTTTGCTTTTTCCCAGCCAGGGAAAAAGCAAATTGAAAGTCTAGACCATTTTGCTTTTTCCCGGGCCGGGAAAAAGCAAATTGGAAGTCTGAGCAGACTGGCCCGACTGAGCCGTCTCTTGTTCATGGAGGGTTGGGCCCAACCAAAAACACACCAACATGAAAACTGCTTGGTTGGGCCCAACCAAAAACACACCAACATGAAAACTGCTTGGTTGGCTGGCTTCCTGTTCCTCAGCAATCAATGTGTCAGTGATCAGAGCACACAAGACGTGCCAGGGCAACTGCATGAATCCTTGAAAGCCCCTAGCCCCAACGAAAAACCATTATCGCCGACAGTGGTAAAACCCCACGCGCGAAAGCTTGCGAAAGCTTCGCGAAGGTCCTGCGAAAGGCCTGGAAAAATGAAAGGACTTTTGAACAACCCCCATATATATATATAGCTTTCAGTGACTTGTTTGCCGTTTGAAGCACCGCGGGCCTGTAAAGATTCACGTTCATTGTCAGTCGAAACACGCTTCGCAATCGGGGCTTTTCGGAAGTGCACCAAACACCGCGTGCGCCACGCTTTTTGCACGTCGTCTTGACACTCGCACATGCATGTTGAGCAAGTGCATCGTTTTCGTTGAGCAACTTGCAGTTCCAATGCTCCAATTCTGCACACAACGCTGTGTGGTCCTTGCGTGTGGCACGTAATGCAGCGCGGCGGTGGGGTAGTGGGGTTGGGGGGTGAAAGAGTGACTGTATTGCGGGGTAGCAGTGTCTTTTATACGGGTAGTGTCCGTCCCTGAGCCTTGAGGAAACATAATGCTTGCAGCTACAGTGTGTAGAGGGAGTGTGCTATAGTTCGAGGACAACCCCCAAACGGAAAACCCAAAGATATCAACGTCCGTTTCAGTTTCGACTGCGCGACAATAACCTGTCCGCATACGTAGTTTGCCTGAAATTTGCGCGAACATGCGCGAACTCTGTTGTGCTCGCACGCATTTATAGGGAATCACGGAATCACAAATTGATGGCACTCGCAAAACACCTTTGATATGCCATCAATTTGTGATCTCTACTTGGAAAATGCCATCAACCACTTGAGGCTCGAGGAACAACTATAGATGGCATCTAGTGAGATTCTAGAAAAACGACGTCCTTCAAAAGGCTTGAACCACCGGCTGGATTTACATGCAAACATGTGTGCAGCAAACAGGTTGATGGCATCTGGGCTTGGTTGTGTTGCCAGATCGCCGGCTTTGATCATGGTGTGCCATGAAAGTGTGATTTCCTATAATAGTAAGGGCTCCGCCCTGGTGCCGCCGACCCCTTTTCTTGGGGGAGGAGCTGGAAGACCAGAAGCCGGACAGGGATTGCTATAAGCATACACCGGCTATGTGCTCAAGACTCTTTATTCTTGATTCCTTTTATCACGCTCGGCCCTTCGGGGGGTTGAATGTGATTTTGGCCGGGGACCTATGGCAGTTGCCGCCCCCACGCGGAACATTCTTGGGAGAGGTGCCCTGGGAAATGCTAACGAGTGGGAAAAGCAGAAAAGTAGCGCACACCGTGCATGGGCAGGAACTGGTATGGGGATCGCTAGGGGAGAAGAGTGTGGTCCAAGGCTTGACCGAACTCGTGCAATGCGAACGAACACGGGATGTATGGTTGCAACATCTACAGAAACAAATCCGGGAAGGCAGACTCGCTGCGGACAGCCATGCATTCTTGCACGGCCATGATACATCAGTCCCAGGGAGTTGGTCTGGCGAAACCTCAGAGTGTGGGAATGCAACGTGCAGGAAGCTAATGCAGGGCAAATACACGCCCGCACACATCCGGCTGCATGAATGCCCCAGGTGCAAGGAAGAACGAGCGTCAAAGAAGCGCGTGGTAGATACCGCGGGGCACATGGTCGAAGTGGAGAGAAGGGACCGAGCCAAAGCAATTTTTGCGACGAACGCAGTGAAGTACCATGTGAACAAGTTGCGAGCGCAAGATTGGGCACAGAGGCAGGGTCAAGAAGTGCAGTATGCCATCGCAAAAGATACTATCTCCAGTCGTGCATTGCAAGAAAAACCGGAATTGGGGAGAGAGAAATTAACGTGGCTGCAGCGACACGACCAAGACTGCGGAGGGTTATATGGAGTTTTGCCCTTGTGCGTGGGCATGCCAGTGACGGCAACAGACCACCTGGACCGCCGCAGAGGCATACTGAAGGGATGTCCAGGCAAGGTGGTCGGGTGGAGCTGGCGAAAAGATCAGGAGATATCACAAGACCAAAAGACACATATTTGGAACCAGCCCCCAACATGTATTTTCGTCCAATTCACAACGAAAACGCAGTGGCGAGTCCAAGGCCTGGACAAGGACAACGTCTTTCCTGTGACGCTTCAACGGCAAGCATGGCACATAGACAAAGGCAGGAGCCGGCCAATGCTACGTGTCGTCCGGCGGCAATTTCCGCTGGCCCCAGGCTTTGCAACGACTGCCCACGCCGCACAGGGTCAAACCTACGCAGAGGGGGCAATAACAGACATGCAAATCGGCGAAGGCGGAGACCCCATGACAGCGTACATTGCGGTGACACGGGCGAGAGATAGAGAGGGTTTATACATCTACAGACCCTTTGATGCCTCGCCATACCAGAAAGGATGTAGCGTGGGGAGGGCTCTGTTGTTGCAGACCTGGCGTGGGGACTGCATCGATTGGGCAACGGTACGCAGGCGCTACCGAGAAGAAGAAGCGTGCAGCGAGTGCCGCGAACGCAAGCCCAAAAGCGGGTACACTGCAGGGCAGTGGAAACGGGAAGCAGCCGCGCGGGTGTGCAGAGAATGCGTGCGTAACCATGCGGCAAACAACACGCCGTGGCAATGCAGCGTATGCAAAGCATGGCAGGACGAGGCCGCCTTTGCAGAGCAATACGCGCGCCCGCAGTGCACTTTCTACCGCGTGTGCCACACGTGCGAAGTGCAGAAGCCGTGCTGCAAGTGCGGCGTGGCAAAGCCGGCGAGCGCGTTTGGAGCTTCTGCGCGGAAGGCGCGAAATGCAGACCGACGTTATTGCAAGGAGTGCGCAGTGAAAGTGACCGGTCATTGGCGCTGCGGAGTGTGCAGTGCGCAAAAAGCACGCGAGCACTTCAGCGCGTGGACACGGCAAAGCACGAGGCAAAATGGAAAGCAGCGTAATGGAAAGCAGCGTTGCAATCCGTGCTTCCAGGCAAGGGAAATCCGGGCGGCTGCAAAGAAGGCAAAGGGCAGACTAGACAAGCTGCGAGTGTAGGACAAGAGACAGCAGGTAATGAGGTGCATTCGGGCAGAAAGCCCGGACAGCGTA